AACCATGTCCTGGATGTAGGAAGGGCCAGATCCATTCACAGCATGGTACGAAAGTACCAGTGTCTTGAAGTGGATTCTAGCAGTTACTGGAAGCCAGTGAAGTGAGTGGAGGAGCGGTGTGGTGTGGGAACATTTTGGAAGGTTGAAGACCAGACGAGCCGCTGCATTCTGGATGAGCTGCAGAGGTCGGATGGCACACGCAGGTAGACCAGCCAGGAGGGAGTTGCAGTAGTCTAGGCTTGAGATGACGAGAGCCTGGACCAGAAGTTGCGTCGCTTTCTGGGTCAGAAGGGGACGTATCCTCCTGATGTTGTAAAGAGTGTATCTGCAGCAGCGTGTTGTAGCAGCGATGTTTGCAGTGAAGGACAGGTTGTTATCTAGGGTCACACCCAGATTCCTTGCAGTCGGGGAAACAACAGAGGGGCCGATGTTGATTGTTAGGTCAAGAGTGGGACAATCTTTTCCTGGAAGGAAAAGCAGTTCAGTCTTGTCAAGGTTGAGCTTGAGGTGGTGAGCAGACATCCACTGAGAGATGTCAGCTAGACAAGCAGAGATGCGTGCGACGACCTGGGTCTCTGAGCGGGGAAAGGACAGAATTAATTGGGTGTCGTCAGCGTAGCAATGGTATGAAAAACCATGCGGGCTAATGACAGATCCGAGCGAGTTTGTGTACAGGGAGAAGAGGAGGGGACCAAGAACAGAGCCCTGAGGCACCCCTGTAGTTAATTGACAAGGGTCGGACTCGGACCCTCTCCAAGTTACCCTGTAGGTGCGGTCTTTGAGGTATGAAGTGAGGCGGGAAAGTGCAGAGCCTGAAACTCCAAGTTCTTGGAGAGTGCGAAGGAGGATCTGATGGTTCACCGTGTCGAATGCAGCAGACAGGTCCAAAAGGATGATGACAGAGGAGAGGGAGGCTGCTTTAGCAGTGTGTAGTTCCTCAGAGACAGCAAGGAGGGCAGTTTCTGTGGAGTGACCTGCCTTGAAACCAGACTGGTGCGGATCCAGAAGGTTGTTCTGATGGAGATAACAGGAGAGTTGTTTAAAGGCAGCGCGTTCAAGTGTTTTAGACAGGAATGGGAGGAGAGAGACAGGCCTGTAGTTTATAACATCAGACGGGTTGAGAGTGGGTTTCTTTAGGAGAGGGTTTACTCTTGCCTCCTTGAGACTGTTTGGAAAGTCACCAGAAGTTAGAGAAGTGTTGATGAAATGGGTGAGAAACGGTAGAATATCAGGAGCGATAGTCTGAAGGAGGTTTGAGGGGATAGGGTCCAGAGGACAGGTGGTAGGACGGGCAGAGGTAATGAGGGTAATACCCCTTTCACACCAACGGTGTTTCAGGGCCGGTTCGGTGCTGGTGCTTGAAAAGCACCGGGTTTTCCTGTTCACACCGCAGCGGAGCAGCGTCATAGCTCCGGAATCCGGTTCGTTTCGAGCACCAAAAAGTTGTCCGTCTAGAAGCAAGAACCGCATACGTCACGCTTACGTCGGAGGGGGGCGAGATTAACCTGAGCTAACACTTAAGGCGAGTACGGCAAATAAAAGTTGTAACAAGCAGTAGTGCTGAGCAAAGTGACTAGAACGCAACCACACACTTGTTAAAAAAAACACACTTTATAAAGTCAGGCAACACTAACCAGGCTTCGTGTGATTCTGTTTATTTGTACCTTACTTTGACCATCCGTTCGCTGTTATTGATCATTGTGGAGAGCAGGCAGACGTTTTGTTTGTTATTATAGCAGCTATCGGATGGAATCAATACATGGGCTGCACAGGTTGTCATGTCCGACTATCACAAGTAGAATCATAATGAAAAATACGTCGGTAAAAAGTGCCTGGAGAAAACTGCTTAGCAAGTAGTCAGTTTAGCTTCGGTTGCTATGCTAACATCACCCATGTTATACCAGAGAAACTTTCATAACAGCGTTGTGATGCCAAACAGCGTCAATTCAGACTGACACCAAACAGCGTCAATTCAGACTGACACACATTCACTTAAGGGGATGGGGGATATGTATCAGCTGCTTGTGTGACAGTCAGACAGTGAATACTTTAGAGCCGTGTGAGCTAACCCGGAGCTAACGGGAGAATTCACTCCCGTTGAAGAGCAGCCGGCCAGCACTGCAGCGGTCGGTAAATGCCGCTGAAACACATTAATAAACAATGAACCACGGCACTCTGGAGAAAAGTATAAGGTTGGAGAAGTCGTTATTTAATTTAATCTGGCTTCGTATGATTAAAAGCAACGCAGTCCCCGGCCCGTTGTTGTTGTGAGGTGAGCTCCGGCGTTGGGGAGAAACTCAGCGACGTAAACTGTGACGTCATGACGCAGCAGCGGCAGCACCAGTCGGGCTCTGAGCGGTGTGAAAAGAGCCGGCGCTAAACCGAAGAACCGGTTCTGAACCAGAAAAGCTCTAGCACGGAGCTTGAACCGGAGTTGCGTTGGTGTGAAAGGGGCATAAGAACCTCACTTGGAGAGAGAGGGGAAAAGGAGGTTAGTGTGTGGGTGAAAGGTGGGTCAGGTGACCCAGCGGTGAGTAAAGGTGAGTCAGAAAAAGAAGAGCGAATATCATCAACCTTTTTTTCAAAGTAGTTAACAAAGTCGCTTGACAGAAGGGAGGAGGGGGAAGGGGCTTTGGGGGGTTCTAAGAGGGTGGAAAAGATGGAAAATCGTTTTTGGGGATTGGAATAGGAAGAATGGATCTTATCTTGAAAGAAAGTGCTTCTTGCCTGTGAGATCGAAGCAGAGAAAGAGGAGAGGAGAGCCTGATAGGTTAGGAGGTCGTCATGGTGTTTGGATTTCCACCGTTTCCGCTCTGCGGATGGTTCTATTAGCATGCAGTGCGTCATTTAGCCAGGGAGCAGGAGGGGACTGACGAGGCTGCCGAGATGTGAGAGGACAGAGAGAGTCCAGAGAGGATGAAAGAGTAGAGAGGAGAGTTTCTGCAGCAGAGTTTGAAGGCAGGAGTTGGAACGAGTCAGAGGAAGGGAGGGCTGAGAGCACCGATGAGGCAAAGGTAGATGGGGAGAGGGAACGAAGGTTACGGCGGACGGGTGCAGAATGAGAAGAGATTAGTTTGTTATGTTTGGAAAGGGGTAGAGAGAATGAAATGAAGAAGTGATCGGATGTGTGAAGCGGGTTTACAGTGAGTTTAGAAGTAGTGCAGTTCCTTGAGAATATGAGATCAAGGACATTGCCAGTTATAGTCAGTTTAGCTTCGGTTGCTATGCTAACATCACCCATTTTATACCAGAGAAACTTTCACAACAGCGTTGTGATGCCAAACAGCGTCAATTCAGACTGACACACATTCACTTATGGGGAATTGGGGATATGTATCAGCTGCTTGTGTGACAGTCAGACAGTGAATACTTTACAGCGGCCGCTGCTGTGAGTTAACGGGAGAATAAACTCCTGTGGAAGAGCAGCACTGCAGCGGTCGGTAAATGCCGCTGTAACACATTAATAAACAATGAACCACGGCACTCTGGAGAAAAGTATAAGGTTGGAGAAGTCGTCATTTAATTTAATCTGGCTTCGTATGATTAAAAGCAACACGATCATCGACCCGACGCAGTCCCCCATTGTTGTTGTAATGAGCGCCGTTGGGGAGAAAATCGGCGACGTAAACGGTGACGTCATGACGCAGCAGCGGCAGCACCAGTCGGGCTCTGGGCGGTGTGAACAAAACGGGGTCTGAAAAGAAGAACCGGTTCCGAACCAGAAAAGCTCTAGCACGGAGCTAGAACGGGAACCGCGTTGGTGTGAAAGGGGCATTGGAGGGTTTGATAACCCACTCCCCCTCCACACTCATTGGTTTGGAACAGCACTTAATGTGGCGGCCCCTCCGCGACAACGCGCAAACGGAGGGGTAGTGTGTAGGGGTGTGGATTGAAATTGGGCCTCCGTCTCCGTCCAACTCTCTCTCACTCAACGTCACTCACTCACTCACTGCCCCCTAGTGGTTGGCGGTGCCAACAGCTGCATTAAATGCAAAGGATGTACAATAAGATCGCTCCTATCTGTTGTATTGAAGAGGTGCGCATGAGCAACTTCTAACGAGGGTCGATCATGGATGTATAGGGGTCAACGGGCAAAGACTCCTGCACCCCAGGCTGAAAACACGGGACTTATCAGTAACTTTAGACATCGTAACACAATTTTAATCGATATTTAATTGTAGATCATACATTTTACTGACACCAACTATATCATATATACCTATGAAAAATATACGTATACAATTAATCCAATTAAAGTATTTTTTATGACAATGTAGAATGTGCAAAGAGGTGGGGTGGACCGGTCGCCATGGTTATTGTACTTTTGTTCATATAGCAATACAATCGAGATAAACTACTTTTGAATTCATTATTGAATTTTGCAAATAACAATGCGATTAATCGCAGAAAATCATGCGATTAATCACAATAAAAAATGATAATCGTTGCCCAGCTACAGATGGAGCATCTTATTTCAGACTCCAGCTTACTGCTTCCTGCCTACTACCTGCCAGTTACCTGCCTAAGACCTGCCAAAGACCAGTATCTGGGAATGTTAAGCCCTCCCACTATTTTCCAAGAGGGCGTTGCCAGATTTTCAATTTCAGGATTTAACCAGGAGATGGCGCTTCCTTCACAAAAACAGGAAGACAGCTTTTCATGGACTTTCAGTTTTGTTTAGAAGAGCATTTGAACACATCAATATTTTAGATCAAATAAAGTATATCTAATCTTGTAATTCAATAATATATAGTCTTTATATATTAAATAACTATGGCCAAACTAAGACTTAGTTTTTCAAAAGAGAAAATGCAGATATTATATAAAAAACTAAAGTTAAAATCTTGTTTTTAATGCCCCAAGAGCAATAAAAACACTTGGTAAAAAAATCCTGAGTGAGGCTTTCATAAATTGCATTTAGCTGATGTAGTTTATACATGTGTGGTTGGGGAAATGTACAGTATGTATGGTTTGATGAAAAATAAATAGCGCACAAATACCTGGGTAGTTTTGTCGCTGAGGCCTCGCAGCAGCAGGGTGATGACATGGACAGAAGCTCTCCTCACTTCCGCCTCCTTCTCTGTCTTTATCAGAGCAGTAAGACAAGAGCTGAGCTACACACACACACACACACACACACACACACACACACACACACACACACACACACACACACACACACACACACACACACACACACACACACACACACACACACACACACACACACACACACACACCACACACACACACACACACACACACACACACACACACACACACACACACACACACACACACACACACACACACACACACACACAACCACACACACACACACACACACACACACACACACACACACACACACACACACACACACACACACCACACCACACACACACACACACACACACACACACACACACACACACACACACACACACACACACACACACACACACACACACACACACACACACACACACACACAGTGTTACAGCACTATCTATCACAAAGACCAATCAGCTGCTGAGGTGAGAGCCAGAACTTAGATTTTTTTACATTTGAATAATAAATGCATCATATTGGTGCACTTCGGAGGAACATTTAAAGACGAAATCCATTAATAGATGTGAGCTCTGATAAAATATTTCAGACACAGCGCAGCAGATGGAGTTTGAAAGACAGATTTTTCTTATAACCACAATGTGCTGCAGCTAGGCTGAGTGATACTGCATGGATAAAATCACATATCACAATATTTTCGACTATGTATGATATACAAATAAAATATAGAAAGTCTATACATCTTCCAGTGCAGACTAACAACCTGCCTGTTTTTGCTGTAGTTATGCCAACAATTAAAAAAAACATCTGTATGAAGCACTTAGGAAGGATTGCTTTAGTTGAAGCCAATGCAGTATTACTCACAAAGGTTTTGGCTTATTGAAAGCTAATGTAGCTGCAGGATTCTTGCATTTTGTTTCATCATGGCTGAATGCACTTATTGTATGTAGTTTTGGATAAAGCGGCAGCTACATTTATGTAATACAAAATGTATACAGGGCCCAGCCCTGGCGGTGTGTTTACTGTCCCCTGCTGAAACCTCCTCTCACCTCCTGGGCCAGTGCTGGCAGGGCGGAGTCCAGCCGAGGACACAGCTCCCCCAGGTTAGACAGGCTGCTGGCCCGCACGCTAGGGTCCGGGTCCCTGGTTCCCTGCAGGAAGACTCCCACCAGAGGACGCCCGAAGTGGGGCGCAAGTTCCCCTGGATAAGGAGGGGGGGGGGGTTATAAATCTGAGATGCATTTACGGTAAGGAAAACTAGACCTTATTATTTATCAAGTAAACAAAGATGTCGGCCTCATTACCAAGGGGCCTGCATCTTTTATTGAGAACACTGTGACATCAGCTTACATATTACATGATGATCTGATGCAATGCCTTGTTTAAAACACAGTCATAATCAAATGCAACAGACGGTAGGTTTTCTCAGGCTGTCTGTAATACCAAATCAAACCCATACGGGCTGTTTACCCCTCTGCTCACTGATGCAAACAACATGAACCCACTCACATTAACATTGATGAAGACTAATATCTAGCTTGATGAGTGTCACACTGGGTTAAACATATATCCAGCTGCTTTAATTGCTGTGACGTGCTTTAATTAAAAACATATTAGCACAATGTGTTCAGTTGGATGTTGGATTAGTTAAGAAAATAAAGTTTGAAATGATTTTCTCTCTTTTTCAATTCAAGCAATACGTTTTATTTTAGCAGCAACTGTTATTGACAGACACACACACACACACACCACCACCCCCCCCACCCCCCCCCCCCCCCCCCCCCCCCCCCTCCCTCAGGACAAACACAGAGGCTCTCTGGATGGCAAACTGAAGGTCTACCCAATCTCTCAGCAAATATATAAACCCCCCAATTGTCCCAGAGAAGTGGTACGATGGCAATCTGGCAGATAAAACCAGAGCTGGGACCAAAACAAAACAGGGTATTAATCAGGGAAAGGGTCGCATACACAGGGGCCCTTCTGACTGAGATCTGCCGGACAACAGGCCGGCCCTGTGCTGCATGAGAGCTGTCCACCAAACACACATAATCCTTTCAACAAATATGGATACTGATTTATCATTCCAACAATGTTTACCACTCACAGTCAAACAAATTACTAGGTTTCTTGATTCAGATAAGGGCAGATGTTTTGAAACATGTGGCACACACTGAATCCTCCTCCTGTCAACTGCTGCCACAGTAACTACACTCATTAACATTCACTACTGTATGTCAGCATCAGTAACCTGCTGCTGTGTGATTTTATCCGATGACGTTTAAGGATCCTTTGTTCATTTCTTATGCATGCAGCACGGTTATGGTTGTTTTACATACGTTTTTTAAAACTTTTGAACAGATCTAGCTTCCAGTTTTCATTCTACTGTTAACAAGGCCGACCATGTCCTGCCTTCAGCTGCTTACTTCAACAGACAGAGTGGTTTCCATCTTACTCTTAAAATGCTTCAGTGTGAATGATTTTGGGTTTTTATCAAAATAATTGAGCCCATCGTAGGCGTCAGGAAATGGCTTTTAAATCAATATTTGTGTTACCGAACTAGAGATGATGCTCACCCATTGCCCGACTTGCCCTCATCAGGACTTCTCCCACTTTGAGGCGGGTTTCCAGGGAGTGCTCAGCGATGGATGTAGGGAGTGAGGGGCCATGTTGGAAGTCGTTGAGAAGCCTCTCCAGAATCCTCTCAGGGTATGAATCAGCCAAAGCAGCCAGACCTGGAGACAGTTCACACTCAGTCTGCTTTCAAGAGTTACTGCCAACAGCTTCAGACCATAGCTTGAGATCAATAATCATACAACTCTATGAAAACTTCACACGCAAGCTGCATAATTGTATTACCTTGAATTGCTGACAGGTAGACAAATGAGTCCTCATGCTCCAGGTTTTCTAAGAAGAGCTGGAGAAGACATGCCATCAGATTAAAACCCAGAGTATGTGTATGGTTATATACCATCAGCATCATTATACACACACAGACTGTGTATGGTTATATACCATCAGCATCATTATACACACACAGACTGTGTATGGTTATATACCATCAGCATCATTATACACACACAGACTGTGTATGGTTATATACCATCAGCACCATTATACACACAGACTGTGTATGGTTATATACCTTCTGTTGGAAAAACATAAAAGACGTGACTAACATGGATCTTGCAGGGGAACCACAGAGGATCAATACTGGCAAAGCTCAATAAATTAAAAACACATCACAACACTATCAAAGTGAATAATTAAACATGACCTCAGGTACAATAAAGGTCTTTGAAGAGAAAGGTTTGATTGTGTGGGGGGAAACAAGGGGCTTGGGACAGAATGTGCCGGAGTTTGGGGTGAAGTAAGGGGGGAGGAGAGAACATATGGAAGGTGACCTGTACAATACCCCTTTCACACCAACGGTGTTTCAGGGCCGGTTCGGTGCTGGTGCTTGAAAAGCACCGGGTTTTCCTGTTCACACCGCAGCGGAGCAGCGTCATAGCTCCGGAATCCGGTTCGTTTCGAGCACCAAAAAGTTGTCCGTCTAGAAGCAAGAACCGCATACGTCACGCTTACGTCGGAGGGGGGCGAGATTAACCTGAGCTAACACTTAAGGCGAGTACGGCAAATAAAAGTTGTAACAAGCAGTAGTGCTGAGCAAAGTGACTAGAACGCAACCACACACTTGTTAAAAAAAACACACTTTATAAAGTCAGGCAACACTAACCAGGCTTCGTGTGATTCTGTTTATTTGTACCTTACTTTGACCATCCGTTCGCTGTTATTGATCATTGTGGAGAGCAGGCAGACGTTTTGTTTGTTATTATAGCAGCTATCGGATGGAATCAATACATGGGCTGCACAGGTTGTCATGTCCGACTATCACAAGTAGAATCATAATGAAAAATACGTCGGTAAAAAGTGCCTGTAGAAAACTGCTTAGCAAGTAGTCAGTTTAGCTTCGGTTGCTATGCTAACATCACCCATGTTATACCAGAGAAACTTTCATAACAGCGTTGTGATGCCAAACAGCGTCAATTCAGACTGACACCAAACAGCGTCAATTCAGACTGACACACATTCACTTAAGGGGAACTGGGGATATGTATCAGCTGCTTGTGTGACAGTCAGACAGTGAATACTTTAGAGCCGTGTGAGCTAACCCGGAGCTAACGGGAGAATAAACTCCCGTGGAAGAGCAGCCAGCACTGCAGCGGTCGGTAAATTCCGCTGAAACACATTAATAAACAATGAACCACTGCACTCTGGAGAAAAGTATAAGGTTGGAGAAGTCGTTATTTAATTTAATCTGGCTTCGTATGATTAAAAGCAACGCAGTCCCCGGTCCGTTGTTGTTGTGAGGTGAGCTCCGGCGTTGGGGAGAAACTCAGCGACGTAAACTGTGACGTCATGACGCAGCAGCGGCAGCACCAGTCGGGCTCTGAGCGGTGTGAAAAGAGCCGGCGCTAAACCGAAGAACCGGTTCTGAACCAGAAAAGCTCTAGCACGGAGCTAGAAGGGGAGTTGCGTTGGTGTGAAAGGGGCATAGAGAACTCAACCGAATCATTGCATGAAGAGAAAATCAATACTGATGTGATAGTAGGGGGCTGAAGGTTATCAAAAGGTGCATACGGGGGGTGGGCTTCTGATTACAGAGAATACTAAATGAGTTGTTATCCTTTCTTCCCCACACCACCTTAACAAGTCCCAGAGCGCAGCATCGTCCCCTCTGGCCCCCCTGGGGAAGGGCTTCAAATCACCTCATTCATTATACATGTTTGCTCCTCAGGTCGAAGGAGACACACGCAGCAGCACCTACACTCAGCCATAGCACATGTTTAATAGGAGGCTAACGCCACACAGCAAACCAGCAACATCCACTTTTAACAAATGTGGAAGCATGTTGACCGAGCTTCTAGAAAAATGTATCTGCTATGAAAGCAAAAAGAAAAAGCCCTAACCCTAAGTATGAATAACCTACACATATCCAGATGTGTCCGGCTGAGAGGTGTCTGGAATAAAAAGAGGAGGGAGTAGCTGCAGAGCTTCAGGCTCCGGCCCAACTCCTCCGGGACCCTACTGGACCCGAGCTGAAGAAGGACGTGACTCCAGAGATGCTCATCAGGAACATTAGCATGAGCTCATTAGTTAATCAAGCAGCTCCTACTCCACCAGCCAATAGAACCGTAGTATTTCAAAATGTGATTTATAAAGTTCGGTTCAATTAACGATAAGCAGCAAATAACTGATTTCAGTAAAACTGAATTCACATCACATGCTTTCCCCTTGAACCACATTCAACCTTTTGCCAGACGACCTGACATTTGTGTCTTTTTCGAGTCTCTGTATGTTGCTCAAACACAATGGACTTAATGAAATCCACAGCAGAACAGAAGCATGTTTTAATGGCAGTGCTCTCATCAGTCTGAACACCCTGTGCACTGCTAGCTCATACAAAAGGATGTGATGTCACCGTTTAATGGCAGTTAATAACTGCATGTTGATCAGAGTGACCCTGTGAGGGAGCACAGATGCAGTCCTTCAGGGTGTTGGCTGGTGTTGGATAAAATGTTAATCAGTATTTTAGAATAAGTATAGTATAGAATAACGGACTAAATGCTGACACAAGAATAAAAAAGTTGAAGCACATAACCAAGCGACCCACCATGAAGACTTTCTCCTGCTCCTGGGCAGCCTCTGGGTTCTGCTTCTGTACCATCAGGGTCAGGACCCTCAGAGCGAACGCTCGGGTCGGCACGTCCGGGTCACATGCCTCCAACAGCAAATCAGAAAAGGGCTTGATCGGAGGGCCAGGTTTACTGGTGCCAGAGGTCCTCCCTCCACCTCTGGGACTTGTTCCTGATCCAGGCTCAGAGCACGCTGGCTGACTGTTTAAGGGAGATGGAGGAGGGCTAGTCTGTGAGTCTGTTGCTTCAGTTTGCATATTTCCTTTTTTCATTAAAGGCACACTTTTGTTCTGTGACATGGTTTCAGGGTTTCTGGAGCGCTGAGCCTCAGAAGAGAAGTTTTCCGGCCGGTAGGCACCGTGAGTGGCTATGACAGCTCTGAGGTTGGATGCCAACTCCTGGATGAAGACGTCAGAGTGCTTCTCAGAGAGCGTCTCAAGGGGGGGGAGGAGTCTCCACATAGAAGAGTAGTCCTCGGCACTAAGCTGTAATATTAAAAAATGGAGAGGTTGGTTGTGAGAGAGCAGGGTGTGAGGGAAACCCAGGAAAACATATGTTTGACACTGAAGATGATTCAGATCGTATTAGCCCTGTGCTGCCAGTGTTCTTTATTCTGATTGGGCGGCAGCAGAGATCCTACATACAGTTGTTCCTTACTCCAACTACTCTTACTGTGACCAGAGCACATTTTCAGCTGCTATTAAAAAGGGACAGTTCCGCCTAAAATCAAAAATACATAATTGTTTCTCTTACCTGTGTTTGGGTGAACTGTCCCTTTAACAGCAGCTGAAACTCTCCACCAGGGGTTATCATAATCATCTCACTGCAGTGTACATGCAGCCAGTGAGGGGGAATTGAACTTGAATTCACCTAAAAAACATGTTCCTAAGTCCTACAATTATACATGTATTAATGCATTATTAAAAAGTACCTGTAGTATTTTATATTCCTATTGCCATGACTATACAGTGCACACATGGTGAGGTAGACGCTGTTTAATGAGCTTCCTGTTGGTTTGAGTACCTGAGGTCCAGACAGCAGGGTGGCCAGCAGACCCACCCCCATACTCAGCGTATCGCTCTCAACTGGGTTTCCCAAGCCTGGACCTGTGTTCTGATCCAGACCAACACAGGCCCTCTGCAGCAGGGACACCATGAAGTCCACCACCTGGAGGAAGGACACACACAATCATGGGCACAGCAAGAGATTCAGATGTGTGGGGGGAGGGAGGAAGGAAGGGACGTAGTTCTTTTATTCAGCCCTGGGGCTTTAATGTTTATAAAAAGAAGAAAATATGACCTTAAAGGGGACCTATCATGCAAAATGCACTTTTGTACGTCTTTTATACATGAATATGTGTCCCCGGTGTTCCAGGGAACTCACCAAGTGTCAGAAAACACAACCCTCTCTATTTTCCTCCATACCCAAATCTCTAAAAAAGGGGCTGCAACGGATCTGATAAAAACTGATCCAGATTTGAACACTGTCCTGACGTCAGGACAGTGGCGCTACGGCTATTGGGCCAACTCCACCAATCAGGAGGAGACAGCCACGGCCATTGCCGTTCGAAAGCGCTGGAGACGCTGTAGTACATATGCCAGGCCTGTAAGTGGCGCTGTAGTCTGCCACAAAAGTAGCAAAGAAGACTTCCCGCCCATAGTTACCATGGTTACCCTTCTGTTTATTCTCCGCTGTGGCTTTTTTTCTCCCTCCCCGAGGCAAGCGTTTGCTCCCGCTGCTTTAATTCAATGCAATCCCTCCCCGTCGAGGCAAGCACTGTAATTCTCTCCGGTTAGTCCACCAGCAGATGACAAACACCCACCTCTCCGCCTCTTCCAAGGAACGAGGGGACCGTGCGGCAGAGTTTCAGTTTCAGTTTCTTTCGCCGGTCAAGATGTCCGTTAAAGTTTAAATCTTCCGGACAAAATTAGAAAAGTGCCGGTCAAAGGTCTTCTTTGTTATTTATTGAGCTTTAAAACAAATGAATAACGACTCTATATAATAAAACACGGAGGACGGAGATCTCTTTTTTCTCCCCCTCTTCTGACAGCCCAGCAGCTGATCAGAGCACGTCTCCCCTCTCCTGCAGGGGGGCGTGGTCAGCAGAATCAGCCCCGTAGACAGCAAACAGCACATAGAGCGAAATGAGGCATGGCTAAAATGCATGATCTGTTTGGTATTTTGAAAACAGAAACGTATAAATATACCTTATATAGGTATGGCCCTACAATATATCATTTAAATATAGCATGATAGGTCCACTTTAAGCGGCTCAAATGTGTTTAGTACAAAGGTTAAAGGACACCTATCATGCTATATTTAAATGATATATTCTAGGGCCATACCTATATAAGGTATATTTATACGTTTCTGTTTTCAAAATACCAAACAGATCATGCATTTTAGCCATGCCTCATTTCGCTCTATGTGCTGTTCTCCAGCCCTGTTTTTGCAGGGGGCTGATTCTGTGAGCTGCAGCTGACCACGCCCCCCTGCAGGAGAGGGGAGCGTGCTCTGATCAAGTCAGAAGAGGGGGAGAAAAATAGATCTCCGTCCTCCGTGTTTTATTATATTATTATATTATTATATAGAGTCGTTATTCATTTGTTTTAAAGCTCAATAAATAACAAAGAAGACCTTTGACCGGCACTTTTCTAATTTTGTCCGGAAGATTTCAACTTTAACGGACATCTTGACCGGCGAAAGAAAACCTAACTGAAACTCTGCTGCACGGTCCCCTCGTTCCTTGGAAGAGGCGGAGAGGTGGGTGTTTGTCATCTGCTGGTGGACTAACCGGAGAGAATTACAGTGCTTGCCTCGACGGGGAGAGATTGCATTGAATTAAAGCAGCGGGAGCAAACGCTTGCCTCGGGGAGGGAGAAAGAAAGCCACAGCGGAGAATAAACAGAAGGGTAACCATGGTAACCATGCGCAGGAAGTCTTCTTCGCTGCTTTTGTGGCAGACTACAGCGCCACTTACAGGCCTGGCATATGTACTACAGCGTCTCCAGCACTTTCGAGCGGCAATGGCCGGCCGTGGCTCAACCCCACATTCCCCTGATAGGTGGAGAGTTGGCCCAATAGCTGTAGCGCCACCGTCCTGACGTCAGGACAGTGTTCAAATCTGGATCAGTTTTGATCAGATCCGTTGCAGCCCCTTTTTTAGAGATTTGGGTATGGAGGAAAATAGAGAGGGTTGTGTTTTCTGACACTTGGTGAGTTCCCTGGAACACCGGGGACACATATTCATGTATAAAAGACGTACAAAAGTGCATTTTGCATGATAGGTCCCCTTTAAACCTCAAGGGGGAAATTGTAGAAGATGAATGAAATGTAGGACCAAAAACTACAGCTAAATCTATAAGCATTTTGTTGCCTCACAATGATAGCCAAAAGGGAGCCTTCTTTCTCTGTAAACAGCTTAGCTTATTAAAAATAATAAAAAACGATTTAGTATTTATAGACCAATGTTGACATTTGTTGGAGAGTTTAAAGCTGTATTATATATCGAGCCTGGAACTGAAGTCAGCAGGTAGATGTTCTTATGTCAGCATATCAAGGTCCAACAATGTGATCGGTTAGAATATAAAAAGAGAGTTGTGGGCTGGACAGCTGATCTGGGTTGTGAAGCTGCTGTGGGAGTTAGTCAGTTTCACTCAAAGCCAACGAGGGAACAGTGACACTGACTAATCCCAGAGGCTGCACTGTGCTCACAGTATGTCCGGGAACACCGCACTGTACAATGAGATACAAGCTTTTTTTTTACCAAGGCAGACCTTAGAAGCCACCAGTACTGTTTACACGGTGAATCAGTCTGTAAAGATTGAGTACTGCAAACAATATTTGCTCTGTGACTTTGTTGAGCGAGTAAGAACTTCCCCGACATCAGTGCGTAACGCACTGATGTCGGGGAACCTCGATCATATTTTTATGAGGAAACCGTTTCGATCTGTTGATTCATAACCCAATTGGATAATCTACATTGTCTCAAAACTCAATGACTTTGAGACTTCAACTCGACTGCAGCTAGAAAGATGTGTGCAAAACCAAATAAAACCCTCACAGTTAACTTAATGTCTGCTTTGGTTCTCCGTCACAGTGGTTAAAGAGCACAGGTTTTGCAGATCAGTATTTGTGCTCTCACCTGTGAAGGTTTCCTCAGCAGCACTGTGTGCTGCACACACTCCACCATCATAGCCAGCACCTGCAGCAGAGCCAGTCTGTGGCCCCGCCTCGCAGCGGCCCCCAGCACCTGCTGCTCCACCTCTAGGAGAGTCATGGCCGACACCCCCAACTCTTCCTCATCCTCCTCTTCCTCCACTGCAGCTGCACAGCTGGCCAGCCCCTGCAGGAAACACAAGGTTACCTTCTGCACAAGTGGAAAGAACAACTAACTGAAACTCAATCTACACATTTCTAACTCTAACATCAAACTCAAGAATTTCAAATTAAAATCAACAACTAAACAGATTTTAAACTGAGTGTAAAAATAAATAGAAAGTAATGAAAAATGAATAAAATCACATAAAAGCTAATCTGTGTGATTTAAAAGTCAGTAAAGAGTAAAGACACTGGGTGTTTCTCAATGTCGAGTAAAGCTGCTCCAGAGCCACTATTTCAAGCATACTACGTCATTGAGTGCCGCCGAAGTACTATTCCAATGTCCAGCATACTTGGAATTCTACCGAGCCCGGCGTACTTCGTAGCGAGAAATATCGAGGCTGCCCATGTGTAGACTCCGCGGTCTTAAAATCCCCACAATGCTTTGCGCACGGACCAATTTCCCCAAATCTGTGGCGGAAGATGTAAGGCGGGGCCTCTCATATGAAGCACACCTGCACACTTGCTAGCCTGTTCCACTCTTTGTTTTCCGAATGCCAGGAAGTATTCTTGACTCGCTTCTGAAGCAAGACGCTCGGAAGACATGTGCTACCAAGCAAGCGTACTCGAGATTGAGAAACACCCAGAGTCTGCAGCCCTGATCTCCTCAGACATGCAACATACTCTCTACAAAATTAAACAATGTGAGAATGTATTACTCTGGATAAAATGTCTGTACCTGCAGCAGCTCCAGGAAGAAGTCTCCGGGCAGGTCCGAGTCTTTGAGTTCATTCAGCAGCTGCATCAGAACCTCCAGCCTCCACTGCTCTCTGGACAGCTTCTCATACAGAGCATCGTCCTCCTCACTGCCACACAGAGAAGAGGAGAGGTGGAATGCCATAAATAAAGGGTGGCTCTTTAACCAGTGCTGATTGGACCAAGTCACAGTCAATGTAATGTCCCATACTGATTTATGTATCAAAGAAATATACTGTTAAAGCCAAGGCTGAACCTAATGTCTTTTTTCAATACATTTACATTTTGCACTTAAACATTGGGATCACACAATTTGGAAAACAAACCAATGCAACACCACTGGAATCTAATTCTAAAAATAGCATAATGCTTATAATGTTAGTGTACCCTTATCTTTATCTGCAACTGTTCAGAAAGGCCATGTTAACATAAAAAAGCGGCACAGCATTGGAATGTTGTAGAGTCTAAATGCCAAAGATAGCATGAAGCTCTGGAGCGTCTAACTGTGGGGTACAGCCCTGCTTCACCAGAGAGACCCCCCCTCCCGTCACCTGCAGCGCTCTCTCCAGCTCAGCCTGGCTCCTCCATCACTGCCGGGGGTGAAGATCAGGTCCGCTGCCCCCCCGCTCCTCTGTCCATGCAGACCTGAGAGCTGCCTTAGGGCTGACAGAGCTGCAGACGCCTCAGCGTGGCTCAGGTACATCAGCAGGATCTCCTGACAGGGGGCGCTGTGGACAGCAGAGCACGGCTCATTTTCACATTCAGTTATGCAAACTTAACATTTCTGTTGACCTTTTTCCAAAGTATATATCATTTCCTGCCTAGCAGACTTTCTGCCAGCTAGAGAAACTTGCACAATGCTTCCTGCTGACAGGATGCGTTTTTTCATTAAACTGCTGCCACAGTTTCGTTTTTAAACATTTGGCAAAAATGAAGATGAGGAAACATTTACAAGATTCATTCATATTTGAAGTCAAAACCAAGGAAGCCTCCTCGACATTGAGAAACACTCTAGCCTCATCCCAATACCCCTCCTCGACTCCTCTCTTCCCCTTCTCCGGGACTTGACCTGGAAATCGATCAAGACACGCCATGTTGAAGGACGTCCCAATAGCTGAAATGCACACGGAGGAGTCGAGGAGCGGTGCGGGAGGAGACGAAAGGGAGGATACACGAGAGCAGACTACGCGGAAGTGTTTTCACTACTCGCGTATAAAAGCCCCGCCCCCACCTTCACAGCTGGTTGATTTCAAGAGAGGAAAACGGAGAACTGGAAGAATGAGTGGGAAAGCGTCACATAAATGTATAAGTGCTCACAGCTCCGTGGGAATTATTATGTGCAATTCATTTCTTAAGGTTATACTAACAATTTAAGTCATGTTTAATGATCTTGAACGTCACTAAAACATAGCTATTAAGAAAGCTATTTCATGAATGGCTAGATCTTGATAAATAACAATTATTTGTATTGTTTTGTGTTAAGATATTCAGGAGTTAAATTATTTAAAATTCACAGTCCTGAATGTGGGTTTGTGGTGAATGTGGGGATCTACAGGACACACATGTTCAGAGTAAAGGCTTTCACATCATTATAATTATAATTTTATTTAAATGTAGGCTACATTTGACACCAAAACGGAACACAAAAGCAGGACCAACCATCATACATTGAATTCCTTGACTAACAAGAGAAAGATTCATCATTTAAATAACTATTTAACAACAAATGGGCCGGTTCTAAAGGTTATTCAGTTAAGCCCGATGAGAGGGGATACAGCTGTGCACATGTCATCATTAACAGACGTCGTTTAAAAGTGACGTTTGAGTGAACGAGGACGTCCCAATTAATACCTGAGGACTCCTCTGTCCTCGCGTCACCTCCTCGTGTCTCTCGCTCGCATCTTACGGAGGCGGAGCTAAGACGCAAGGAAGGGACGCGAGTGAGGGAAAGGAGGAGTCGAGGAGGGGTATTGAGATGAGGCTCCAGAGTCACAGAGCTGCAGCCTACATGTCAGGTCAGACCACTTGTGGTTAGCACTATTAAACAATGAGGACAGCAAGGGAAATGTAAAGGTTTATGTGCTCTACATTGTGCTGTGGCTAATGTCTCTCATTCAATTATTGCACAACTAGGGGATGCCATCATGAATCAAATAATACATTAATTAAAAGAAAATAAATATATATATATATATATATATATATATATATATATATATATATATATATATATATAAACTTAACACAAAAAGTAAGGAAATGTGTGTTTGGTAGAGTATTTCTTTGTTGTAACAATGCTTTTTGGCAATACAGGTGAAGGGCAGTCACGGCAGGCTCCTGGCAGCCGTACGAGACCGGAGAGTGGCTGCTGTTTGCCATTGGCAGAGGAGATTTGTCACATTCTTCATGGGCGCAACCCACATAGACAGCTCTGCTGATCATCCCACAAATGCACGTTCCTCACAAATGTGGCACCATTGGAAAGGTAACAAAACAGGCTTTCCAACGGTATAAAATGTATTGCCAAGAAGTATTGTTAGAACAAAGAAATAAGCTACCAAACACAAATGTCCTTACTTTTTGTGTTAAGTTTATTTTATTTTTTTAAAGAAACACAAGACAGGTGATACAGAGCACATATGAATGCTTAAAGGTAGGGTAGGTACGTTTGAGAAACCGGCTCGAGATCGCTAGAATTTGAAAATACACAACCGGAGAAAATCTGCCCCTTCCTTATAGAGCCCCTCCTCCAACACACACGAACGCGCACATGACCAATGAGGGCACGAGATAAGTTTGTGCACAGATGGAAGGCTGAGAGGCAGGTAGGCCATCCAGTTATTTTAGCCGGGCCGGCTCAAATGATTGGTCGTGCTTTTTACAGTATTACGGCTTCCACAGATGACATTTTTTATGGATTTTTTGTCAAAGCACTTAAGATATTCATTGCTATCGGGATGTTAAGAGCATTCCATGGAATATAACAAAAAGTGTATCTCGAGCCGGTTTCTCAAACTTACCTACCCCACCTTTAAGCAGAAAAATAATAATAATTTTAGTGGGAATTTGATACACATGTGTTGTGTTCATACTGTATTGAAATTAATTGGAATCCATCTAACAGATGGGAAACCTTACCGGAGGTGGGACACATTCTGCTTGGTGAAACAGAAGAGTGTGAAGACAACAGGAAGAACCTCCTCCAGAGCTGTCAGCAGGGACGCTGACGGACTGTTCCCAACAACCCAGATCTGACAGAGACACAGGAGCAGAGAGCATGAACTCACCACGGGGGGGCTACTATCATCACTGTGACATTCAGGTTCCTGATGGTATTGTTTAGTGCATGCCTTCAGGTGTCCTCACCTTGTACACATCACTCACACACCGGGACAGCTCACACTCCTCCACAGCAGCTTGGGATTGACCCTCATCTGGAAAACAGACATAAGCATCAGTTCAGCTCTTATCATGCATATGCTGTGTGTGAGGCAAACACTACAACATCTATTAGCTGCACATCTTGAGTATACATAAGATAAACAGCATGTGAGCTCAAAAGTCTTCAGGTGAAAATATGTGATATCTCTTTTGTTTTTAATTCCATTACCCAATTAATTATTGCTTGTACTTAATAAATAAAGATTTACAGGTATACTTAAGTTAATTGTTTTAACCAATACCAACCATATCAACAACACTTCTAATTTACTATCTGAACATAGTATGTGTCATAAGGCGCGTTCACACCGGAGTACTTTTCACCGTACTTTTCGCGTTTAGTTCCGTTAGTACCCCTCATGTCGCGTTCACACCAAAAAGAGTACTTAATCCCGGGAACTTTTACCCCCATTTTTAGTGCCTGCTGAGAGATGGTACTTTCCTGGGGGAAAAAAGTGCCCCAGTTCTGATTGGCTGGGCGAATTGCAACCCACGCCCCGTAAAACTTTAAAACGCCGCCATTTTATTATCCTCGCATTAGCATTATTAGCATTAGCATTCGCCCAGCGCACAAACGCAGAGAGACTAACTTATGGCAACACAAAATAAAACATGGGAGCGGTGGAGATGAGGAGGTGTCGGCGTTCTGGCGATTTCGTCGGAAGGCTTCAGTCGAAGATGCTGGGAGTCCCAGCAGCTTCTACTGAAGCCAGTCCCCAACTCCGGGGACTTCCGGCCGGGGACTCCGGGTGGCAGTATACGCCGTGAAGTGGTTTGCGGCCTGCCAGTAAACCCAAAGCAGAAGAAGACGAAGTGACGTCAGCGGCTCATTTGCGTAATCTTCCCTCAGGGAATTTATTCCGGTGTGAACGCGATCTGTACCAAGTGCCCTGGGGTAATAAGTGCTGGGGCACTGAGTGCCGGCACTGAGTACGGCAAAGTACTTGGTGTGAACGCGGCTATAGTGTCCTTGGGCAAGTTACTTAACCCCAAACTGCTCCTGTAGGCGGGCAGTCTACGGTATTCAACTGTATGCAAGTCTCTGTGGATAAAAGTGTCAGCTAAATAATATGTGATGTGATGTACTGGCCATGCTACTGACTGGAGGCGGGGGTGCAGCGGTGGAGGGGTGAGAGCAGAGGAGTGAGCAGGTGCTGCCGGGCCGCACCGGGCTCCTCCTGCACCAGGAGCAGCAGAGACCTGGTGGCCACTCGCTGGAACTGCTGGGCCGTCAGCTGGTCCTTAAGGTGCAGGAGGTCAAGGATCTATAGACGGAAAAACCAAAGCCCCCTTCAAACAAACAAACAAGTGTACTTGATAATAGCTGTTCTTCACGGCAGTACATCACTGCGTTAACATGCACTGAAGCAGGAGGACGGACGAAACACAGGAAGTCCACGCACGTCCTAGACCGCTTTCCCTTTATAAATCACAATCAATTCCACATGCAGCGAGGCTTTTGCGGCCTTCAAGTAACGCCCATTTTTGCCTTTTAATAGTCAGTGAAGCACTGCATGAAGACGATCACAGGAAACCCTCCAGCAGCGACTCCATCAACCAGTTAAAAGAAATAAAACAAATGTGTTGTGTGACATCAGCAGTACAATTTAACAAAAAAAAGGCTGTCATTTGGTTTCCATACCCCTTGTGTTTTAACAATGCGAAGCATCAAGTCTTGGTGAACAGCATAATGATAATGAACTTCATTTGTAAAGGGCCGCTCAAAGAAATATTTAGATGAATGTTTCTCTCTTTTCATGCTTCTGACTGTCGCAGTTTCTTATCTCTCCCGTTCTTTTGTGCCTACGCATGGGTACAAATGTCTGGTGAGGACCGCACATTTTCCTGTCAAGTTTGCTTTTTATAAAATCGGAAACATTGCTTGGAAATTGCCGTAACCCATCTTTTGAACGTGCGCCAGGTTTATAAATGAGGCCCCAGAACAGTGGTTATAAACTGTAAAAATGCATTTAGAGAGTAAGAACAACTTTGCAAATGTAATGTAAAAACAATCATATTCTCGCTTAGATTGACCTGAGGACAGACGTGTGTGAAGTAGCTGTCTGCTGAGGCACACTGCTGGGGGGGGGTCACCAGGATCCAGGCCACAGCTTCACATTTCCTCCAGTCGGACTCGCCCCCTGCAGGACACAAACAGTGTTCTATCAGTCAGCAGGGGAAACATCATGTCTATTCTATAGGAAGTTTCAAAAGGAAAACTACTCAAACACAGATGTTTTGCTTTAGTGCTGTTATTGTTCAGGTTGACTGGTTTATATACAATACATTAGGGGGGGGATATTTATTTCTCTACTTGATTCTTTCAGACTTTTGCTCCTCACCCATTCCTCCCTCCAAGATAGCTCTGACTACAGCCTGGACCCCTTTAGGCTGCATCAGGCGCTCAGACAGCAGCCGACCACACAGACACCTCAGCCAGGCCGGAGCGGATCTCAGAGCTGATCTCAGAGCTGTTCCAGGAGCTGATCCAGGAGCTGATCCAGGAGCTGATCCAGGAGCTGATCCAGGAGCTGACCTGCTGGCAGATCCTCTGCAGCTTCCCACTGCAGCAGACTATAGAAGGGACATTACATATAAAACACAGCCTCACAGGCCTTTGTATATATGTATATATAGGGCACTCTGAACATCTTCCCAGGGGGGGGGGGCACAACACAATATAATAATTTCAACTATTTATTTACTGTGTAAATGACCTCTATGTTGTATGCATGGTTAGGGGCTGGCGTAGGTATGGGTGTGACGCTGCGAACCCTGGAATCATAATAACTCTTGTTTAAACTGTTGCCGTAATCGGTGTCGCAAAAGTATCGAGCGACAGGGTCTAGTTTGTGCAACGGACCTCTCGAATGTACATGTGAGTTATTGAACACTATTGTCACGAACATTTTGTGATAGTATCGGTTTATATAGGTTTTAATAAAAATTGTGTGTGCTGTTTTTTGGCTCAACTGTTCATAGTGCCATTTAAGATAAGAGTCACTGCATATAAGGACTGCCATGCTTGATGTCGCACATTTTTGCACCCTCGGTGAGCGGAGCAAGGTATGTGACACGAAAGAGACTTTGTTACACGTGTTTATTTGATCCGTGATTTAATACATTTGTGGTTTAACTGAATGCTTTGTACTTGTTGTGATGTTTTGTAATGACAATTAAGTACCTATGTCTGTGTTTATTTTTATTTTTCACGATGCTTGAAAGAGTATTAAAGGAACTGCATCCATAGAGACTCTGCTGTGTTTATTACTGAGGGCAGCTACATACTAAAACACATCAACCACTTATTCCAGCACAGTCTCCCACAAGCCCTCCTCCCCCGCCCCACCAAACATAGACATGCCCACCTGTTTGGGTCCGCCCTGGAGGATCAGCAGCTCCGTGATAACGATTGGCTGGTAGACTTTTCTTAGAAGCTTTTTGAGGGCCTCCTTGCAAGTTTTACATTCCTCAGGACTGAGGTCCTGCATCTAAAGTTTGCAATAAATACAAAATAGAAGATGCCCTTTATCTCTCTAGCCTACACACATCAAAATAACTGTCCATTGTATCCAGATGTGTTACCTTCTCCTCCCGCCGGGGCTGGTAGCCCAGCTGGCACAGAGCGGCCATCACGTCCCCCAGATGGCGAGTGAACACCAGCGTGGCGAGACAGGACAGCTCTGCCAGCTGCAGGAGAACCTTCATGGTGGTCAGAAGGCGGCGTCCAGCGGCTGGCACCGGAACAGCATGAAAAGCTTTTTCCACCATGGCTCCAAACGCTGACCTGCGACCCAGTGGCACGCCCACTCCAGGGGCCAAGTATGGGCAGAGTCCCAAGGAAACCACAAACTGAAGAGCTGCTCCAAGCGTCTTCTGCTGGGTGACACTGAGGACATCAGGAGGTAAAGCTGGAGCCATCTCAGGGGTGCGGAGTTTAGCTGCAGATGGAGAAGGGGTCTCCCTGAACCGTTCCAGTTCAGCAGACAGGTGTCGTCCTAAGGTGAGCAGCAGGAGGAGACACTCCTGGACAAAGCCCCAGGGGACATCTTCTGTATCACTGGAGAACCAGTCTGAACCAGCCCTCACCTCCTCCCTCAGCCTCCTCACCCCCTCAAAGCTGCTCTCAGTCTGCAGCTGCTCCCAGAGAAGGGCTCTGTTGGCCTGCAGGGCCCCCAGGAGGGCCTCCTGCTGTGAGGATGGAGCATCACGCAAGGACAACTCTATACACACACACACACCACACACACACACACACACACACACACACACACACACACACACACACACACACACACACACACACACACACACACACACACACACACACACACACACACCACACACACACACACACACACACACACACACACACACACACACACACACACACACACACACACACACACACACACACACACACAAAAAATGTAATGTATTTATTTCTGGACTGGCGATTCATTTGTTAATTATTTGTATGATTGCAATATATTAATAATCCATTAAGAGTCAAAGCTCCGGGGACTGAGGCTCATTTATATGGTTGTAGTGTGGCTGACAGTTAAACACAGGGGACGTTATGCTTCTGCTACAGACCATAATGCACGCAACATAAGTTCTGTCCCATACCATGCTTTACTTTCTGCTGTTAAACTAAGTTATACACTTACCAGCGACGGGTTTGGTGAGGACAGAGATCGCTGAGAGGATAGCTGAAGTCATCTCTGCACCACACCAACAACAACACTGTACACGTGCACACGCGAGTCACCTGTTCCGGATCTGACGTCATGCAATGTCCTCATCCATGTGAAACCTCCCTGTCTTTAATGTGCTGCTGCTAAAAGCATTATAACCCTCAGAAACCTCTTTCTTCATCCATGCCATGGACTTCCATGATGTATTGTGAGCAACTCGCTCGGTGAGTCTTAATGGCGCTGAAATTATACGTCAGAAGTATCGTCCCATAAATGTTACGTCATACATAGAAGAGCGACCAGAGCAGAGGATGGCATGGAGCGTACAGCCCATGGTACAGCCGGGTTGCGGTCGGATAATCCAAAAAATCAGCTCCTAACGTCTAACCCTATCGTCTATTCCTTGACCTCTGAGTGAAACGTCATGGGGGTTAAGGGATAGTGGATAGGATAATTCAAAAATAATTTAGGAGAAGAGACTGCGGTACTTTAGAGAATCCGACTGCACTTTCACTATCCGACGTGTTTATGATGCGCCAGCGGACGTCATAAATGTGCGTCTGCTGCTGTGGGGAAACTATGGAAATTACAGTTTTCTATACAGCGGACTACAACATGGATGTTTAATAAGAACGAGGGACTACTGTAAACTCATCTAGAGACTCTGCACCGTGCTCTGATGCTGTTGCTTTATGCTTTATGAACATGGACAACAGAGAAACATTCTTCATGACCAAAGTTGGAATTGAAATAAAAAAGGAAAGTGAAACTTATGCTCGTCACCCTCTCCCTCCGGTCCACATTAATACAAATGATCCCAATACGTATGATTGTATGAACTATGAAAAGATCTTAAAATCAATACAAATGTATTTATTATAAACGTTAGTCCTTAACATCTATCACTGTGTATATCACCATTCAAACATCTTTTAAAAGTTGAACAACCCCCACACAGCTCAGTAAAGACTGCGAAATGTTGACTTTAGTTGATGATTTCAGTAAAAACTAACGTTCATATTTCTCTTTTTGATTATAATACTGATGAACGTTCAAAACAAAGCACTTTGGCAAGTTACCACATACGTTTTAAAATGCTTAATAAGCACAGTAACTTTCATGATATAATTTCTCGTCATAATCGGTTGTTTCCGTGAACGGCCGACTGTTGTGTGACGGCAAATGCTGCGGCTGCAAGGCATTGTGGGGCAGCATTTTCTCCTCTCCTTTCGGTGAGGGAGGTCCAGTGGTTCCTAAGCTAAAGGAGGTTATAAAGGAAGTTTGAAACCTCCTTTCCTATCATCTAGAGCAGTGGTTCCCAACCTGGGGGGCGCTTCCCCCTTGGAGGGGCGCCAAAGATCGCAGGGGGGGCGCCAGGCCTCAGATGATTTGAGGCCAAATATCATATTTAGACTTTTTTTTTTTTTTTACATATATTTGTAACGCAATACATGATTGTCACTAAAAGCCTTGTCTCTACATTACAATAAAATATAAAAAATAATTGATTAATTAATTTGAATAAAAATTCAAGTTAGTAGCTATTATAGGCATAAAAAGACAGAAATGTATAATTCTTTCTTTAATAGAAATGTTTCTTCTGCCCGTAAAGTGTCCAAACCAGGCTTTTCTGGATAAGCGCATTTTTAAAACATAGTCATTGTCCATGCCGGTTTCAGATTATTTGTCACAGTTGCTCCGATCAGATCGGTCTCCTCCATTTTGTAGATTATTTACGACTTTTGTATCCACATAAACACATCGGCAAAATCCGGCTTACTTTGAGCATGTGTTTTAAACAGTTTAATCCCTTTGTGAATTGTTTCCACTTGCGCCGTCCTTTAATTTCTTCAGACAGCGGGAATCCAAATTAATTAATCCTGAGTCCAATAACCATCAAAGTCACTCCAATAGTGCTCCTTAATTACGCTTTCATCCTCCTTTAACAAAATACTTCACATTCATCCAGTTTGTGACAGTAGTTGTAGCATTTTTGAGACTTTTAAACTTTAATTACCGCTGTTGCGCCCCCGCAACAGCGGGGGGGGGGGCGCAACTTCCAACAGGAGTCATTTGGGGGGGGGCTCTTTGGAAAAAAGGTTGGGAACCCCTGATCTAGAGAATTCGAACGGCACTTATCATGGCTGCCACTGAGGGACTTCCGGGTCATTTCACTCCATTAGGAAGGTTCCTCAAGGTTCAAGGTTCAAGGTTCAAGGTTCTTTATTGTCAATCTGACATAGCTACAGAGTAATTATGCAGTTGAAAATCTTATGTCACAGGCTTCTCCAACAATGCAACATAATAACATAACATAATAACAATAAGAGCATGAGCAATACAAAAATAATAATAGTTATAAAAATGAAATAAAGTTATGATGTGGAATAGTGCAGTATGAGTCTATATACAAGTTATTGGAATGATATATATATTAGGTATTAGATACATACTACTGAGTAGCAGTTGAATGTTTGAAGTTGTTTCAACAGTTCAATTTTTTAACAGTCTCACTGCCCGCGGGAAGAAACTGTCTCCGAATCTTCTTGTCCTTGCCAGGATGCTGCGGTAACGTCTGCCAGACGGCAACAGAAAGAACAGTTTGTGGCTGGGGTGATGGGGGTCTTTGATAATCCGTAGTGATTTCTTCCTGAGCCGCTGGGAGTAAAGGTCCTCCATGGATGGCAGCTCCGTCCTGGTGATGTGCTGTGCAGTTTTCACCACCCTCTGTAAAGCCTTACGATCGAGGTCGGTGCAGCTGCCGTACCAGGCCGTCATGCTGCCAGTGAGGATACTCTCTATCGTGCACCTGTAGAAGTTGCAGAGTATCCTGGAATCCATTTTGAACCTCCTCAACCTGCGGAGGAAGAAGAGCCGCTGTCGAGCTTTCTTGGTGATGGTGGTGGTGTGAAGAGACCATGTCAGGTCCTCAGTGATGTGGACCCCAAGGAACCTGAAGCTTTTGACTCTCTCCACCGTAGTCCCATTGATGGCGATGGGGGCGTGTCCCTCTCCCTGCTGCTTCCTGTAGTCCACAATCAGCTCCTTTGTTTTGCTGATATTGAGATGGAGGTTGTTCTCCTGGCACCAAGATGTCAGGTTTTCGACCTCCTCTCTGTACGCCGTCTCGTCATCGTCTGTGATCTGGCCGATGACGGTCGTGTCATCAGCAAACTTCACGATGGTGTTGGAGCTGTGTGTGGCCACGCAGTCGTGGGTGAACAGGGAGTAGAGGAGAGGGCTGAGCACGCAGCCTTGAGGGGCACCGGTGTTGAGAATCAGGGTGGAGGATGTGATATTTCCCACCCGCACTGCCTGGGGTCTGCCCGTCAGGAAGTTCAGGATCCAGTCACAGAGGGCGCTGTTGAGCCCGAGGTCTCTGAGCTTGATGGCCAGCTTGGAGGGCACAATGGTGTTGAATGCTGAACTGTAGTCAATGAACAGCATTCTCACATATGTGTTCCTGTTCTTCGGGTCCAGGTGTGAGAGGGCAGTGTGGAGGGTGAGGGCTATGGCGTCGTCTGTGGACCTGTTTGCTCTGTAGGCAAACTGCAGGGGGTCCAGAGATTCAGGGAGGGAGGAGGTGATGAATAATTTGACTAACCGCTCAAAGCACTTCATTATGATGGAGGTGAGTGCTACTGGGCGGTAGTCGTTGGGGCAGGTGATGATTGTCTTTTTGGGGACAGGAATGATGGTAGAGTGTTTAAGACATGTGGGGACTACAGACTGCAGCAGGGACCTGTTGAAGATGTCTGTGAACACCTCTGCCAGCTGAACTGCACACACCCTGAGAACACGGCCAGGGATGCCATCAGGTCCAGGAGCCTTGTGTGGGTTAACCCTTTTAAAGGATTTACACACATCTGCCCTATTTAAAACAAAAGGGCAGTGTAGCTCCTGGTCCCTCTGTACCTCCACAGCCTGGCTGCTCTCAAAGCGTGCAAAAAAACTGTTTAGCTCATCTGGGAGAGATGCGCACGCAGACACTCCCGCAGCACCCCCCGCTGCTCCTTTGTAGTCAGTCATTGTCCTTAGTCCCGCCCACATATTCCTAGTGTTACAGCCTTTGAAGTCAGATTCCACCTTGTCTTTGTACTGTCTCTTTGCATTTTTAATTGCTCTCCGGAGATCATACCTAGACTTCCTGTACTCCTCCAAATCTCCCGCTGTGTGCGCGAGAGTGCGCGCTTTCAGTTTGCCGCGCACCTCACCGTTTACCCAGGGCTTTTGATTTGGGAATGTCCGTACAGAAACCTTCGGTACCACGTCATCGATGCATTTCCCAATGTAGCAGATGACAGTGTCCATGTGTGTGTTGATGTTATTGTCCTCAAACACACTCCAATCCGTAGATGCAAAGCAATCCTGCAGTGCTGAATCTGACTCCTCGCTCCATCGTTGTACTGTCCTTGTTATCGGTCTGTCCCTTTTAAGTTTCTGCTTGTACGCAGGCAACAACAGTAGTGAGATATGGTCTGATTTGCCGAAGGGAGGGCGAGGGAGAGCCTTATATCCATTCCGGAAAGGGGAATAAACATGGTCCAGTATGTTTCCCCCGCGCGTCGGGAAGTTGATGTGTTGGTAATATTTTGGCAAAACCTTCTTCATGTTGGCGGTGTTGAAATCTCCGGCCACAACGAACGCCGCATCTGGCCGTGAAGTCTCGGTTTTATCAATAAACCCAAACAGCTGATCGAGTGCCGTGTTGTTGTCGGCGAGTGGCTGCGGCGGGATATACACTGCTGTTATCACAACAGATGTGAATTCCCTCGGCAGATGGAAGGCCCGACATGAGATCATGAGGTGCTCTAGCTGTGCGGAACAGTCCGATTAAATAATCTTCACATCTGAGCACCAGTTGTTGTTAGTCATTACACACACACCGCCTCCCTTACTTTTCCCCGAGTTAGCAGTCCGGTCCTGACGAAAAATAGAGAATCCGTCAGGGACAATAGCGGAGTCCGGGATAGCGGGGTTGAGCCAAGTCTCAGTGAGAATTAACACGTTACAGTTCTTAATGTCCCGTTGAAAAGCAATCCGGCTTCTGAGTTCATCTAGCTTATTTTCAATGGATTGAACAGTAGCCAGAAGAATACTCGGAAGAGGGGGCCGATTCTCTCGTTTTCTCAGTCTGACCAGCAACCCGGCCCGGCATCCCCGCTTTGTCTTCTTCTTGCGTCTCTCAGGTAGAACAGCAACAGGTAGCCATGGTGAATCTCCATTGTTTGTCGGAGGGTTAATATTGTCCACGAAGTTTCGCAATTGGAAAAGTTCCTCTCTGCTATATTGTATGGCAGAGTAGGTGCGGTCGGCTAGCATGTTGCGAACCATGTTAAAAGTAAAACGGCAAAAGTAAAAGAAATATGTACAAAATACGAAAATGGGCAAAGTTGGAGAGGAGCACAAAGACGATGCGGCCATCTTCACCGGCG